CCAGCCCACTGGTCCCTCTCTTTGATGGCACCCGGTCACAATATCGAGCCCAAACGCAGTCGGGCACCCGGGGCCCATCCCGCCCCGAGGGCCAGCATCCCACACCATCCCCTACAGCTCCCAGCATGCTCTGCGGCCCTGGCGTGCGGTATGCTCCCCGGACGCTCCTGCCGCGCTCTGCGTGCCCTCGCCCGGGACACTTTCCTGTTCTCTGCATGAGTCACTCACCACCTTACTCCTAACACTGCTGTCGCCACTGACATGCTGCTGTACCTTGGGGGCTCTCGACCAGGGACGGTACATCCCCAGGGACACTGGGCAGAGCAGGAAGACAGTTTTGCTTATCACCACTGGGGAGTCACTGCTGGCATCCCATGGGTAGAGGCCAAGGACACTGCTTATCACCCTACAGTGACCCTGGGTGAGGGGAGAGCCACGAGAGGTCCCCACCCCTCGGCCACGACCGATGCCACAGAGGAGCTGCACACCTCTCTCCCGCAGTGAGGGCCGCCAGCTTCGCCTCCCCGGCCTGAGGCTCCGACGGGTCGTCCAAAATCCTCTGTATCTGCTGCTCGATTTCGCGGGGCTTCAGCAGCCTGCCGTCATGGTACAGCCAGACTTTGAAGTAACGCCCTTTGTGGAACACGACGATGTGCTTGCTGTCCCGTATGTGCTGGATGGTGTCTGGGGCGGGGGCGGGGCGAGACGCAGAATCCACGAGCACAGGTTAGGGGCAGGTGAGAGAGTCGCCCCGGCTTTTCAACTCCTCCCCCTGCGTCACCCCACTCGGCTCATGAGCCCGTGTTGCGGGAGTCTGCAAACGGCTGCGTGCAGCACCCGTGAGAGCTCTGGCTTCCGACGGGCCAGACTTGCAGGCTCTACTCGGCCACTCGTTGGACCGATCATCTTGGGCCCATGACCTGCCTCCTCTCTAAGCCTCCATTTTCCTGCCTGTAAATGGAGCCAGTTCTCATGTCCCTCACGTGGATGTGCAAGAATTAAGACAGTTTCTCGTTCCCGATCTGAGAGGAAAAGCTTTCAGCTTTTCACCGTTATGTTAGTTTTGACAACAGGGACAGATCTTGAGAGTATTCTGCTAAGTCAGATAGAGACGAATGCAATATGACCTCAAAAAAACACAAAAACAAACCCAAGCTCGTTTGACACAGAGCAGATAAGAGATTGCCAGGGGTGGGGGTGGGGGTGAAGGGAGTTAAAGGTACAAACTTCGTTATGAAATAATTCAGTCCCGGGGACGCAAGGGACAGTGTGGTGACCGGAGTCACTGCTACCGTGCCGCACACCTGAAAGCTGCTGAGAGCAGACCTTAAACATTCTCCTCACGAGAAAGGAAAAGGCACGTGGTAGGCAACACAGCCAAGGCTACACGATAAATCCTGCGGGACCCAGATGAGAGGTGCGGGGGTCCCCAGGCAGGCCCGGAAAGACGGCCCTCAGCCCAGGGGACACCGAGGTCCGATCGCAAGCCGGCGGCCCGTGCCCAATAAAGACAAAGGGACAAAAGGGATTCACCGGAGGGGACCGTCACGAGCCCGAAACCGCTCAACTCTCAGGAGGTCAGCGCAAATCGGCCGGTGTCCCCGACGCTTCCTTCGCCATCGCCTTGCGATGACGTAAGGATGGAAAATGCCGGTCCCCGCCGAGGGACCCAGGACGCGCCACACACTCACCTGTTTCTTCGCCTGGGATCCGGGAGGTATTGAACATCCGCTCCCACTGAGCGGAGCACAGCGGGACCGTGGACCCCAAGAGAAGGATCTGTGACAGAAAGATGTGTCACACAAACACGCCACAGAGAGAAAAGGAGCAAACGCAGACTGCGTGCTCCGATGCCGGACTTGTGTGCTGTGCCCACAGCCGGTCTGACACCGTCTTCCCCAAACTCTGCCAGGGACAGCGCCTGGCTTCGCGGGGCACCCCCTGCCCCAGGCCAGGGCACAACTCCCTGTGTGGTTACCCACTAAAGGACACACGTTCATCACTCATGCGAACACTGACCCTTACGCCAAAGGGGCGGCTATGAAAGAAGGGCCTCGTTTTTTTTTTTTGAGTAGATCACCAGCTAAATTTCTTCCCTTCGAAGTAAGAGTTTCTTCAAGGGGCAAACGACAGCAGGAAAGTACATGCGACGTATATCCATGGAGGACACATGAGGGGAAGGACATCTCCAAATGATCATGCAGAGTGAAAGAAGCTAGACCCCCTGCCCCCTCCGAAAAAGGGCACGTACTGTATGATTCCATTGACATAAAGCTTTGGAAAATGCCAAGTAATCTGGAGTGATAGAAAGTGGGTCGGGGATCACCGGGGGGGGGTGACCGGTGGGCAAAGGGCGAAGAGAGGTTGGGGGACAGGGTAGGGAGAGAGCACGAAGGCGCATGGGGGAACTTCTTTGGGGTGACGGATGTGTTCACGCCCTCAACGGTGGTGATGGTTTAACAGGTATGTGTATATACACATATATATATGTCAGAACTTACAGATTAGACCCTCCGAGCATGTGCAATCAATCAGTTACAGCCCAATAAAGCCGTTTTAAAAGATTTAAAAAAAAAAAAAACAAAGCGGTGCATTCGCTCACTGGTTTGATTTCCTCGCGGTCTACTTTGCGCCTGTACAGCAGGATGGCGTGGATGGCGTTGCCGGCGCGCGCCGCCTGGATGTGCGTCGGCAGCACGTACAGCAGATCCTGAAACGGG